CACCACACGACCCCAACTTTTTCTGAAGCAATCTAATGTATTTTCATGAATTACTGATGTCTATTGTTCGAATTCCTAGTTGGTTAAATAGCAATAAACCTAGTAACTCTTTTTGTTACTTTGATTTTCATGCTTTTCGATATTAATAAAAAGGAATACTCTTAGGAATGGTCGTATCAAGAAAAAGGAATGTAAAAAAAATCTATTTTTAGACATGGGCCCTTTTGTGTCTTCGTCTTCAAAAGTATCGTAAAGAGCAAATAAGTTTTAATTGATTGATCCAAGTAAAAACTAAATCCAAACCCTGCAGTTTAAACCACGTTGGAGGAGAAAAGAGGAAGTTTCTATTGTTGTGAGAAATTTTGAAGATATAAGCGAACCGGATTTCCATAAATATTCGTCAATAATTTTAAAAGGTTATTCGCCAGGTTTTGAGATGAACAGGTACCTGTTACTACCAGATGAGTCAGGAAATGAGGGTGGAACTTGTGCTAGGCTCTGAAGTAGGTTCAGAATGTCCAAATGAGCTGTCAGTATTCTTAAAATTAAAATGATTTTAAGAGCCAAAAGCGTTTTGGGAAACGCTGAATTTGAAAAAAGGCAATGATTTTACGTAGTTTCTAAATTTTCTCTTAGGTCAAGAATTGAGATAATTTTTAGGCTACGAGGTCAGATAACAAATAACAAATAACAAATCCCGTTTTGACACAGATATTAAATTATCAGTGAAAGTTCATGTTGCTGTTCAGTTGAATAAAAGATAAAGATGGCCTTTGGAGTAATTCATCTTCTTCATACTAAACTTTCCCTAATTTGTGTCTTGCACAATGAACAGTCATTTTCGTTCATTTGGCAATTTTTTATAGCGGCTTTTTGATACGAACGTCTAGTCTGGAAAATTTGGCTATTAGGTTTTCATGAATGTTATCACGTTCGTATTCAACCCGACTAAAGATTGGAGCTATGTTGTGACACTTTGAAGTTTATCGATCGACGATTTTCCTTAGAGTTTGATTTATTAAAGTAAATTTAGCTGATAGAAAGTAAAACTAGTTCGTCCACGTATAAAGTCATACAAGTAAAGTTGCATTCATTTTATCGCATAATCAACTAAGATATCTTGCGGCAATGAATAAAAGTATTCATTACCTAACTCTAAGCATACGGCAAATAGGCTTTTACTCGATCAATTTAATTGCTAAACTACAATTATGTTACGTCTTAAATTAAGGTTTATATGTATGTTTTAGTGGGTCTACAATAAAAGGAACGAATATGGTGGTTTCTAGAACAGTTCCTTGAGAATGCTTATAGCTTGTTCTCAGTATTTATCTCTCGGCGATTTATGATTATAGTCTTCTGTTTTTTCGAGCATAATTTGTATTTCCTGGAAACAAATGCACGTTCGTTGTCGATGCTGCTGCCTTTAAGCGCTTTTTCAGGTCAATTACGCTCATTTGTGTCTGGTTTAGCTGGGTCCTGTCATGATGATCATTGCTTATCACTGTAAATGTGCTCGTAACGTGCGGCTTCGGTACGGCATTGAAGCCATTTTCGGATCTGCCTGTCAGTAGGTAGAGGGTTCCCCGGCGGGTTTGGCTCCCACAGGTAATTTTGGTATAATCTCTTATTTTTTTCTCAAATTTCTCCCAAGGTCCATTGTTTGATGCCGCAAACTGAGGTACAGCATTCGCAAGAGTGAAAGTTACCTTCATGAAATTTGGGTCAAATGAGTTTATACCTGAGGGATTCATATGGCCTTTTTGGTAAGTTCATTCTTGAACCTGCGTTTGGATTTTGTTTTCGCTCGAGCATGAGTATCGTCGACACTGGGAACACCTATAATCATAAGTCACATTCTTGGATGAATACAGATAACTTCTGTACTGAGAAACGGTGCGGGAAAAATTTAAGAAGCAGCAATATGATGGCTTTCCCTTCTTCTTTCCTGACGTTGCGTGTTTTATTAGTAATGCAGGGTATACTCCAAGCCCTCGTATTTGTGTTATGGATTGATTGTCCTCCAATCGGTCTTGAAATAAATAACTGCCGAATAGCCATTTATGTACCAGGAGGATCCTTCCAACCTATGGGAGGCCCTTTATGCTTGCCAAGT